CACTACAGTTCGGTGTTCTCATGCTTATGTCATGTTTTTATGTCATGTTGTATTTGTTCACTTGACAATGAGGCAGCTACTCAGGAAAAATGTGTCTAAATGCCAGAATGCATAGAAGAATGTCAGTAGTCAGAATATACTTGCCTTTTGTACCGCAACAGTTTTCAATTCCTGACTCATCCAGCTTGGCACATTAAAATAACAGCCCACACACTGAAACAATTATGGGAATAATATGGGGTGTTTTAACAGCTGTAAACTGGAGGAGGGCAGGGTGAGAGGCTGCAGCACTCGTTGAATCATGGAATGATGAGAGAGTAGAGACCTATCAGCGTACTTAGCAGCATCTCACTCACCGATGAGGAAAAAAGGCACATTTCATTAATGAACACGTTAGAAATAAAAGCCTCTACAAAGCCACCAGTTTCTTGAGTTAGTGGAGGGTTCAGTAAGACGTTTGTAGATGAGTTGTTTCATCCAAGGAATGACACATCTTTAGCACTAAAATAGGTTGTATATATGAATTTTTTTTATGTGACTCTAGAATATTCAAGTCCTTTTGAAGGTCAGAGGTCACTCCATGTTTTGTGCCTGTAGGTTTAAAAGTAGCAGACAGCTGATTAAAAATGCTACTTAAAGGAATACTTTAACATTTTGGACATGCTAATTTACTTTCTTGCCAAGAGTTAGATGAGAACATTTTCACATCGACCTGCAAAACATGAAACTACAGATAGCACTGGGCTTGCTTAGCTTAGCATAGCTGGACTAGAAATGAGAGTAAACAGTTTGCCTTGCTCTGTCAAAAGGTTAAAAAAATGTAGTAAAAACATTTGAGGTCTGTAATGCATCTCCAGACGCTAATGTTAGCATGCATGGTGACAGCTGCTGATAGAGCATCCCTTTTTACTATTTCACCTTTTCCACTTTACATTCGTCTTACATACTCATCTTCCCCATACAGGGTACCTCCCCGGTGGCCATAACTGATAGTCCTCTCACCACTCAAGCCCCTGGGAAAAGCACATAAGATGCTTCGCTTTATGACCCAAAACATCTGCTGCTAATATGGGTCAGTTTTATCCCCCGATCTCCCAAAAGAAAATCTTGTAATCCTTGCACTTGTATCAACATCCTAGGGAACCTGCTGAGCTGTGAAATATGTAAGCTAGGACACCCGTTGGTTCTCCTTGGCTCCAAAAAAGGCTCCTCTTGGCCCATTTTCAAGCAAGGGGAGAGTTAGGATCCCACAGAGTATTTACTCTGCAAACAGCAGTCGCATTATCATGTCTGGAAAGTGGTATTTGTTGGGTTGTATGGTGGGTAATAGAAAGATCATGGCTGACTTGGTTAAATATTCTAGTGATCTGTCTTAAGCAAAAATGCAAGACGTTTTTGTATAAAATGATAACCTCCTGAAGGAAGGTCACATCCATCAGAATTTACATTCACTGCTATGCATGAGCAGTTGCAGATCATCTTACGCTGCAGTTCCTGGATTAATGCAAACTAAGTGACACATGTTTTGACAAATGCACCATCACCCATTTCATAACTGTAGAAGTGCTTGTCATAGTGAGATTGTGTGTGTGTGGGCAAGTTAAGTGCAGCTGTGTGTATTCACCACAAGCCCTGAGGGCCCTTTTTATCAGATAGTGTACTGTGACCTTTCCAGACAACAAGAGCCCTCCTGGTATCAGGGTTCAGAGAAGAGCAAACATCTGTCCTTGACATAAGTGAGTGGCTAATTTTTTTGTCAGACTATGATTAAGTGCAAGACTCAAACTACGAGGAAAGTACTGATAAAGATGTCCATTAGCCATCCCAAACTCTCTGTGTGTCTGTGTTTTGCGGAAACTCTGAGCTATAAATAGAAACACTCAGTATTGTCGACAGACACAATTTACTGTAAGACACAGAGGTTATTGTTACTAGAAGAATAGTGATGGTACTATTTTCAAATTGTCTCTCTTCAGTGAGATATCCAGTAAAGGAAAGTTTTATCCATCACCTTCCTCTAATCTTTGGTTTTCTTCTTTGTAGCCCAACAGTGCTACAGTTAATTTAGATTTTTGTGGAGTAGAGTCAGATGGTATTTGCTATAACCTCTCCTCTGAATTGCCCTCTTGTTCCAACTCGCTCCCCCCAAATAAATAGGGAAGTTTTCTGCAGTTCACCTTTGACTGTTAAGTTTCCGTATTTATATCTGAGAAAACAGTGAAATTGTGACACTGTCGCCTACATGTGTCTGGAGCTGATCTGTGAATACTAAATACATAAAGGTCAATCCATGACACCGTCCTCACTTGTATAATAGTGACACACAAACACACATTGGCATGCCATGAAAACTAGAGAAGTACCATTCAGATGGATTGTAAAAGCCCGTTATTGAAGTAGAGTCAGACTGCACTGAACCTCTTTTCTTATTTCTTTTAGAAAGATGGTGCAGTGTAATCTTGCATGCAATTAACACTAATTATGAGACTGTTTGAAAATAACTGATAGGTCATACAGTTAACACTAGACAACATCTTAACAAAGACTGAGACGCATGCAGAGCCACATTGAAGGGATGATCATTGATTCTGGCTGAAACATTCAGGTCTGAACGGGTCTATCAGTAGTGACAGTGAGCCCCCCAGAGGACAGCTGCTATCAGTGCTGCCTGTGAATAATGGCACAGCGACATCTAACTTGAAATGTAATAGATGCCCCTAGACTCTGGTGTTTAATTTTTTTTATTTTATTTTGTGTGCTTGTGTGTTTTGTATAGAATGAGTCTTGCAGATAGAAGATAATCTCTTTGCAGTTAACAAATACATTCCATATGTGGCACTGTAAAAACAGATGGTCTGCTACAATCAGTTGATTCATGAAAAAACAAAGTTTCAACTTAATGAAATGAACGCAAACATAATGAAGGATGAAAAACTTTGATATCTTTGCATTCCAGTCTACAATGCCGTTTTATATGGAATAAATTATTTACATCAACCTCAACTGATTCAGGTGCCACCTCTGCAGCACATATCAGTGCTTTTTGACGTGTTAGTGCTGAGACATCTGTGAGGAACAACTTTGCTCAATAATCTGCTGGGAGGATACACGAGGAGCCAGAAGCCTGCAGTAGCCTCTTTGATCATCTTCCTTATGTGTGGTCGCAGTCGTTTCACTCCACTCATTTTTGGCTCAATCAAGGACCCTTGAACGCAGCGAAGTTCAGCTCCACAAAACACGAACAAGCCTGCTGCAGAGGCACCACCGAGACCCAATCAATGAGCAATCAGATTCCCTCTTATCTGTTTGGCTTGGCTGGATGTGGATGCTAATCAGTCCCATATCTCAGTAATGGTGTTCCTGTTAATTGCCTTTGTTCATTGTGGCTGTATCCCCTTTCACTTATGATCTCTATCTGCAAATGAAGTCAGAAAGGCATATGGACCTTGTTTCCAGCCTGGCTCTACTGAATCCTAATGGGGGACTGCTGGAAAAAGTGTTGGCCTTGTGGCCTGGCGTTTAAAACTGTCTTAAGATCAAGGTACTTCTTGTTGTTCACATGTGTTGATGTCACTGCTCTGTCAGGCCTTGAAGTTCTACATTATGATCCCTCTTTAAATCTGTAGCTTCTGTTGTCTGACAGTTTCTAGGATACAGTGCCGAACATGGCTGCCTTTCAGAACAATTTCCAGAATATGTTTTCCACAATGGGGACATATGGTCACTGCTTTTATCATAAGTCCGTTCCTAATGAGAATGGCATGATTTTCATATTCATTGAGCATTTGCATCTAATGGTCATGTGGTTAGACCTGGTAACAGTGTGAAGTTGAACAGCTCCAGGGCAAGTCAACCACCCATCTGAGGGACATGCAAATACAAAAATAATGCTGATTATGATTTGGTTAATCACATTCTACACCATGCCTAGCTGGGAAAGATGGTGCTAGTCAAGACTAAGTTAAGAGTTCCAGCCTACTGCTGACACAGCATGACAGAAGCTGAAAAATTAATTTGACAAATGGACTATGATGCAAATATGCACCTTTGGAGATGGAGATTGATGTAGATCAGAGGTCAGCTGGGTCATACTGAATTGTCTTTTGTTGCCTTCTCCCCAACCTCCAACCCTTAAACCCTTCTTTGACTGAGAGGGGGTTAACCATCATTTCTTTAAATCTTCTCCTCATGCATAAATAAACCTGTACCAGCCAACCTTTGGGCCTGTTCCAGGGAGCAGAAGGTCTAAGAGCATCCCTCCATTAAAACTTTCCCTTTTCTGACTTTGCTTTGATTTTACGCTCGTTATCCCCCCTGCAGCTCTGCCGGTCCTGGACAAGAGGCGTTGTACCTGATGGAACAATGGGAGGGGGGAGGCTGTGCTGCCTGATGAAGCTAAGCCAAGCTTGGAGTGGCAGGAGAGGATTGCATTGTCTCCTTACGTTACGCCGCCACAGGAGAAAAGAGAGAGAGGCACCATTATCCCCAGTTTTCTGCAGACCAAATCAAATTAGCAGCAGAGTGCTCCTGAAAGAAGAGACTTTCCAAAGTGGGACGTCTTACCCAGTCAGTTCTCCTCAAGACCTTTTGTTATTCATGGGTGCCCAGCTGTTGTGCTGCTGCTGTCAAAGCAGAAGACCTTCCCTCCCTGATCTTCAACCTCCTCTCTCCTAATGATGCCCTCGAGGCACGGGGAATAGAGGCGAGGTGGCAGGGTGAAAGGTCTGGATAGAACAAACTCCCCTCACTTTGATGACTTCACTCATCTTGTTTGAAGTGCCACACAAGTTAAAAATTCACAAAGATTTATTGTTGCTTCATCATGAAGGCCAGAGTTTTTTCAGGCCGGTAAGTTAACTAAGACAAATATGGTGTTTTAGTAGAGAATGTGCACTAGGAAAACAGCAGGTGTTATGTAGTAGGCACTGATTATGATAACAGTTGGAATCTGAGAATGCATGCTTGAAAAAGCATTATTGTAGAAATAATAAAGTGGTGAAAAAAGCTTTGTTTATGAAGTGTTCAAAATTAAGAAAATACTTTTTTTTAAAGTTCTGATGCAGTCAAACTGCAGCAGAATGCTACCTAAAAAAGACACTGCATAAAAAATACATTTTGTGCTTCTGCTTCCCATTGTTAACATGACCTGAATATATAAATGGTAAGTCAAGATATCTTAAGCGTCACAAAAAAAACAGACAGAAAGAAACAACATTTTTGTGCAAATATATTGTCAAAGTACAAGTTGTGTTCAGATTCAGAAAAATAAGGCACACTGCAAATCCACTAATACTGTAACTCTCTGTCTTGGTGCAGCCCCCATCAGATGATGCAACACTGACCCCTAGTGGAATTTTAATGAACATTTAAAAATATGTTGCTCAGATTAAACAAAATGTCAAAAACAATCAAAGTGCAATGGAGCTTATTGTATCATAAAAACAAACAATACACACATGACCTTCTTCATGGGTTCCTCTTATCTCTGTTGGACTGGTTTTGTTCCCAGCTCTGCATAAGTACCCTCTTAGCCTGGACACTATCTTGGGTCACTGTGAGCAGCCTGAATCCTTTCTGCTCTCTGAATGGGTCCAAATGAGTTAATCTTAGGCAAACTGGTGCGAGTTTTCATGCAGTGTTGGAGATTAGGTAGTGACCTCATGAGCATGCACTCAGGAGCCTGCAGCACTTCTTTGGCACTTGTGGTGAAGGCACCAACTCTCTTAATCACTGTGTATGTGTGTGCACCGTGAGGCTGTGCTTGCTTGGAAAATGAACAGGAATGATGTCCCTTCATAGTGTCAGGAGCAGTTGTGACATCTCTGCTGCTGAATGTGTTTGTCGTATTTTGACTGGATGCACTCGTCATAACTGGGACAGAGTGCAGAGGGTCCTGAGGTGTGTGAGGACCCCAGGAATCCCGTAGCCTTGCATTACACTCCATGTTGATGCTGACTTCGTCCGTGCACTGTGCCTTCTGGATGGTATTGACCCTGAGAAGGATGAAGTCGCGTGTCAGAGGATGATGAAGACCTCTCTTTTTCATCCGCTCACACGTTGCCTTCTCACTCAGTATCACTGAATGGTTAGCTGTCTCACATCGCTCTCTGACTGTAAAGGACATGTGCCTTTTACAACAAGAACAATTGATCTTAAAATACTTGTACTTTTGACATTGAGTTGGACATGCTGACCTTGTGTTTGACTTTTAGAGCGGGTGTGGTGAAGCAGCTCAGCTCTCTCTGGTTTCTTGCTGCCACAGTCATGCATCTTCTGACTGGGTAAAGCATCCTGTGCAGTGGCATCTGCTCCCACTGAGGTTAAGGGAATCTTTCTGAGTGAAGCTGCAGGTTTCTCAGAAACCGCATCACCCTGAGCCAACAGATTATCCTGGCCTCCCTCCCTTGAATCTGTATAGTCCCAGAACACTTTGGCAAACTGGTACAACTTCACACTGGAGGTTGTGTTCACTAATATGCTAAATGGGGGTAGAGAGAAATGTGGGAGACACTCGCATAGATAGAATACAACCATCTAAACACCAGGTGAGAATGCACCTGACTCACCTGTTGTCGTGAAAGTGCACGGACAGTATTCGGCCTGTTTCAGCCTCTGCTGTGATGTCTCTCAAACAGTCTCCAGTGAGGAAATTAAATATACGAATTTTTCCATCCGCACAGCCAGTAACAACACGCAGGTAGACAAGGGCTAGAGATTTGACCTCCCTGCATTTAATGTAACATTTTAGGGTTATTTTGTAGAATTCTGTAATAGGGTAAAATATATTTAACGTAGTGTTTAGATGATGATAATAAACACATTAGGTGCAGTTGGCTGATATTGTCAGTGACAGGCAGCAGTTTTAAATGTTTAAAAAGACACTGAAGACAATGTTTTCTTACATGACTAAAATCAGAACTGAGTAACTTTAAGGACATTTTTGCACATCAGCTCCAAAGGTCTGGTGCTTACTTTGGGTGGGTGAAGGTCATAAGACACTCCTTAGCCTGACTGTTGATGCTCCAGGCCATGACCTGACCGTTAAAGTCCCCTGATAGAAGGTGCAATTCGTCAGTGAACAGGCACTTCACAGAGCTCTTGTGGGCATCGATCACCTTAGGGAGAGTGCCACGTTATACAAAAAAGAAAGAAGAAAAATAGATGCATGGTGTATGAACAAATGCAAACCTGTCAGTTGCGGACAACACACAATTTGGCATCTGTTAAAAAAACATGTATTAAGAGAGAATATATATATATTTATGAGCAATATTCTCACCCTGAGGAGCGATGCCTCCTCCATGTCCCATACTTTGACAAGGCCCCGATCACAGCTGCTATAGACTGTTGTTGAGCTTATCTTCACACACCGGATTCCGCTTGGATGCTTGAAATTAAATTTCTCAAAATGCTTCCCTGTGTGGAGATTCCACACTAGTTGTGTGGTATTTACGATTAGTTCACGTTCCCATAACAGTAACTGAGCACTCTGCAGACACAACTGGATGATTGATCACCTCTGTCTGCTCCATTTCAAAGTAAAAGTGAATGCTTGAAAAAACTGCACAGCAAATATGTACACAATATTAAAAACACACAACATGGCTTCGACAGTCCAAGTCAGTATTTAGCGTGACCTCCCTTTGCACTTAGCACAGCTTGAATTCTTTTTGGGAGACTGTCTTGAAGTCTTGACACCGTGACAGACATGTTTCACTGAAGCCTGCTGCGAGCACTCGTTCTTCCACCTCTCTCCAACTCTTCTTCTCACATACTGTCAACAACTGGACCTGAACATTTCAAACTTCCTCCGTCGCTCCATAATCTTCTTTTCCACTGATCTTGACTCCAGACTTCGTGAGCTTTTCCACGTCTCACCCTTTTTTCCCTGTTCCCTTCAGAAAAAGTGGTTTCTTGGCCGCTGTCCTTCCACAAAGGCCGTTCCTGATCGAGCTCCTTTGGACTGTGGAAGGATCAACTTGGCATCCAGATGAAGCTGCCAGATGCTGAGCCAGGTCTTTGCTGGATTCCCTCCAGTCTCTCAAAGAAGGTCTCATCAGGTTGTGACAGTTTTCCACTCCTGGTTTGGTCCTTGACCTCTCCTGATTCTTCATATTTATTTAGAACAGCCTGAATATCACATCCTGAGTATCCCCGTTGTTTTTTAAATAGTGTGTACATATTTCCTATGATAAATAAATAGTCATCATGACATTCCTAAAACAACAAATAGAATAGTTGGCTAAGACTTCTGCACAGTACTGTGTATGTTGAATATCAGTAGCTCTCCTGGTTGCAATCATATCTGCAAGTCTAAAATCATGGTACTGGTATGGGGAAAAATGTTTGCCTCTGTGTTCATCAGGAGACGTGAAAATCTCATAAATGCACAATTAAGTACTGATATGTTTTTAAAAAGCTGAAGACATTTGTTTGAAAATGAACTAGGAGCTGAATTTCTTGAAAGATTTGATTACCTACGTAGCACATTTTTTTAATGTGATTGACAGTATATAAGTTGTTTCAGTATATTGTGGGCCAGTGTTAGGCTGCTTACCTTTCACTGTACGGTCTTTAGCTCCAGAGACAAGTGTGTCAGCATGGATATCCAGGCAGCTGATGGTGCCAGTGTGGCCATACAGCACCATCTCACACCTGCCTGTCTTCAAATTCCAACACCTACAGATGGGATGAAACAACGAATAAACACCCACACTATTAAATCTACTTCAGTCAGGAGGGGAATGTATCATCATCTGTACCTAATTAATCATACAAAATTCCAGTCATAGAACTGAGCTATGATGACGGGCACTAACTCTGTACATTATCTCCTCCTCACCTGATGCTTGTGTCACAGCTCGCAGTAATCACCAGGTCCCTGTCTTCGCAGAGCAGCACTGCTCGAATGCTGGCAACATGGCCCTTCATCACTGACACAACTTTTGTTTTGGATGCCACATAGAATAGATGCACCGCACGGTCTTTGGATCCCGTGGCCATCAGTGTTCCACCTCTGTAGTCCACCACCCGGTGAGGATCTTCTCTGTCAAATTCAAGTACACAACCACTCCTTAATCACAGCTATATGACATAATGTGTGCTTTAATACCAGTGTGCATGGTTTTAGTTAAGCCTCCTACATAAGAGAAGGTAATGAAACACACGAACATGTTCAACAGCACTTTGGCAAAATATGCACCACAATAGATGTTTCGCTCTTCCATTTGCACTGTTTTGGTTTTGATTTTGGCATAAGCAGCTTCAAATGGCTTCATCTGTGAAAACAAAAACAAGATAATGAACCTACTCACAACTAATTTCTGGTACAAATGCTGAAGTTTATAGAGGTATTAACCTTTAGGACACTGGGATGTATATCCACCTCCTCATCATCCTTTGTGGGTATGGGGACCTCCAGAATATTGGCATACGTAGGACTGACTCTATTAATACCTTTGAACCTCTAGAACAGAAAATGGTATTATTGTATTATCTTTTTAGATGGAAAAATGAGTTAGTGTTGAACTTTACAGCATGAATCCCAAAAGTTCTGATTCGATGAAGGTCACTAAAAACATCTTTGAACACTTTAAAATATACAAATAATTTATGCATAATTAAATATTTATATTGTTAAGTGTGTAGGGTCTACCATCATCATTGCCTTTATTTGGTCCTGGAAATTTCTCCTGAACTTGATTTCCTCCAGGGTTTGCTTTGCAAGGTACTGCCAGCATCGACAAACCTTCTGGCAGCGTCTCAAAGTGTGCTCCCCTAACAGACCTGTAGCAGAAACATGCACAGTATAATGTCAGTAACAAACTGAATTAAAAGAATATTTTGACAATTGTACCTTTGTAAATACTACATTTACACTGAATTGCAAAGTGTCATCCTTGTCATTATTTTGTCTTAACACATTGTATTGTCTTTTGTCCGTCCATACTTCCTTCAAGTAATACAGCCTTTTAGTTTTATCTGTTACTTGGCAGAGCTGCTGTTGCTTTTATATCCAATGGCTACACACTTGAATGGAAAGGATTTCACAACCATTCTTGAGTATTTATGTGGCATCCCCATGGTACTACCCCAGTGAAGTTGCTTTATGCTCAAGTGCTTGACTTAGGACTCTCTGATTCTGTTTGTGTGTGTGTATGGGTGTGGTTACAGTAGCTTGGAATTCTGATGAAAGTTTTCAGCATGTATAATAATTTGTGTTACATAATATAACATACTTAAATTTCTATATATCTAAAGATATCAAGAATACAGCTAGAGTAGCACTCTTGCAGCCTGTGAACACTGCATATGTTCCTATTGTACCGAGTGGAAACTATCAGTAGCCTCTTAGTTTAAGTTTGTCTACAGTATGTGTTCCCTTACCAAGTATCCTCTTTGACAGATCAACAGGTAGGCAGCCTATGAAGTCTATGCATAGGTTGACTCCAGACATAGACTTTGAGGATCCAGGGACTACCATGAGGGCTGGATCCTCTGAGTCTTCATCATTGTGTGGATCAAGTTGATTGGTTTTGTAATTGGTCACTGGAAAGGGCATATGATAATTATAATAAAATGATACAAGTCAAAATTGCTGAATTCTGCATAAGTATTTAAATAGCCTAGTACCGAATAGTAACTGCAGCGCAACCTAACTACAGCCTTGCGCAATTAAAAAAAATCAAAGGACTCGGTAAAGGTTAAGAAATGACTAGGCTGCAAATCAGTACCAAAAAATAGACAATGTTTTAACTCCTGTACACTTCTGTAAATAAACTGTCCTGCGTTGTGTTTTTTCCTCTGTGATCTTACACTTGAATGGAAGAAATCCTCGTTTTTGTCTGACCAGAAGCACGTTGATTAAGTTAGAGATCATGCGTAAAAGTTCGGTGTCACAGAGTGAAAAAACACGGCAAAGATAGCACGATTTTATCCAGTTGGGGCTGCTACTGAACCAGTCCCACATCTCATTCATGTCTTTGCTGCCAAGTGGTTTCCCATCCAGCGCTCGGGTTGTGCTGCGGCAGGAATAATCTTGAAGTGAAGCTGAGCGCCTCGACCTGGCGTAGGTGAACAAAGTCCATGATGTTACGCTCAGGACACTCTGCATGCTTTCGAGCACTTGTACGTTTGTGCAACGTAAAAGCAGCTCCACCACAAATCTCCTCTTGACATCATCCGAAACCTTCCACAAACGCTGAGTGAAACCGGGTGGTTTGGGGGCGAAGACGCACGATGGACACATCCCGCACATGCTGACACATCCCGGCGCCGTTTCACCGCTCAGCTCGTACGCAGACACACATCCACTAAATTCAGCTAACTTCATTTTGATGTAGTTTGCGGTGCTTTCTGTTGGCTGCGTCGTTGCCAGGCCACTCTTGTTTTCCTCTGTATTATCAACAGACATCATTCAGCAGGTTGCCAGGCAACAACGCGCGCCAATAGGGGAACAGATGCTCTCTGAGGGCATGTAGCCGAGCTAGCGCAT